CACACACACACACACACACACACACACACCAAATAGGAGAAATTGACGGATAAAAACTGATAAAATACTTCCATATATTGGCATTATCCTAAGAGAAAATCTTTTAAAGTGACATTTTTGGGATGGCTCAGAGATTGAGAATCTATCTTTTCAATATTGTTTCTGTATATGTTTACCACTAAATTAAAGTTTGAGCCATGAGTAACAGAATCCCATGCTATACTTGTATCCCATTTATTCCATTTTAATTAATGTACTCTGCGATCTTATGAACCTGTTAAAATAAGTCAGCCTTATTCTGAATAAATATATTTAGAATTGTACTGTTAGACTGTAATCCTCAACACTGTAATTTAGCAAATATTATTGAAGTTCAGACTTTTTTATTCAGGTAAACAATTTGCCTTCCATTTATTTCTCAGCTGATAGACCTGATGTCCATTTGCTGGGTTTTTTTTAACCTGGAAATCAAACCATCACTGGTTTTACCCCTCAAACTCGTATTGAATTGCATGATGGCCATTCTCATCATCAAAAATCACCATGACAGGATAGTAGCATTATACCACATAGTACACTGCATATGACAACTCTTTCCAAAGCTGGTGTAGTATCTGCCAGGCCCAGCCCAAGAACAGCAAAGAGACAGTCCAGTCCAGAACAGCTTCTTTATTAGCTTTCACCTAACACAGAGAATCTCGCCAGACTAAACCTATGCTAAAGCAACTAGTGGATATATCCTGTGAGACTCTAGGGAGGAGCTAGCCTCCTCCTCTTCGTCTTCCCACACTCTTGTTGCGGGCTGAGGAGGCGTCTGGAGTGTCTCCCCTCCCTCCTGACAACCTTGAACCTCCATTCCAGAATCTTCCCCGCTCATGCCATCCATTACAGCAGGGTTATTCAACCGTCTTAAAGTTGCCAAGGTTGAGGAACCCTGCATTACAGTATCCCAGCTGCAGTCACCCACTGCAATATGCTTATAATGATGAATTTTATTTGCATTAGGAGAGTAAATTTGTTAAGTTTTTACAAACTCAGGAAAAATAAGTTACTTTTTAAAAAACGATAAAACAAAATCCCATTTAGACCATGAACTCCTTTCTTTACTGCTGCTTTACTATCATAGGGGTACCAAAACCTAGATTTCTGAGTTGTGTTCTATAGGCTAGCAACCCTTTACAAACGTTTAATCAGGAAGTTTCTTCTTTAAACAGCGACTGTGAATTATCAGTAACATCTACACACTTTGCCTTAAACTGTTCATTCCATAATAGCTAGAACTTGCTCTGGGTATCTGGAGGTTTGGCTCATTATCTGTGTCAACCACTGCAGACAACCAGGAGCTCTGCATTCAGTTCTCAGCTTATCAATCGTGTATCCATAATTTTTATCTGTTTCACAGGTTTACTGTGAGGATAAAATTGGAAAGCTCCTTGGAAGAAAGTTATGTCCGCTACAAAGGTGATTAAATAGTGTGATTAATATGTGCAAACTATGGAAGAACAATAAAAATGCATTGCTTTCTAACTCTTGTGATAATGGCATAACACTTTGTTCATCATCTTGTAGATTATATAATTTCTCAGTTCTAACACAGAACTACAATTCCCAGAGTTCTTAGGGGAAGCCATATCCAAAGAACAGATATGAGAGCTATAGTGCCACCATAATTAATAGCATTGGTGTTTGGGATGAAAAACACACTTAAAAAGGACAGCAGAAACAAAAATTTTTAAAAAACCTTCTTTTAAGAAAAATGTTAGGTATCTAGCTTTTTCTGTGATATTTGGCACTTAATATGGCCAGTGATTATAATTGTTTCATACTACTATTACAGCTAGATTGTTGGGAAACTTAGCAATGCTCTGATAAATAAAACAAAATTAATTTCATGTCCACAGCTAAGTAAGTATTAAGCATGCAACAAATGCTATTGATTCATGAATAAACTGTACAATAATTTTTCAGTGAAGCTTTGTGTGGACAACATTCGTCCTACCTAAATATTTATGAAAATGACACTGTGAAAAAAAATTACTAAGAACTAGACATATGTATGCATTCTTTATACATCTTACTAAACATGGAATAGGGAAAGTCTCTGGTTCATACTGCTCAGTTTCTTTCTGTCATGATTTTACTAGAAATGCTTCCCAAGACAAGAGTCTACAGTGGGTGGAGTGCAGAAGAAATTAGAGCAAATATTTTGAATAAATGAAAGCAGGGAAACGCTGGATTACTTGAAGTTGCTCGAAGTTTGTTGTCAGAAGACCAAAAACAAAACCATGCTGATGGATCAAAGTGCAATTGGGATTTTGAAAAATCAGTCAAATACAATCTTTTCCCGAGACATATCACATCAGTTTGCCATGTGTAACCTGCTCTAAAATGAATTATTTGAATCAGGTTTGTAAAATGCAGTTCATCAAACTAGAGAACTAATTAAAGCAGAATTCAGAAAGGAAGGTTTAGTATAGAAATGATTTTGAGATGAAATGTATTGTCATGTTCAGACTGAGTGCAGTATCTGATTTAAGTAGGTAGTCACTAGTAGGTCTATGGGGAAGGTGGCTTCAAGCAGAAGAAAATTCTTGTAGGAATCTAGGAAAAGTGAAAATCGGGGGAGGATTATTTCTTACAATGCTCATAATAAGATAAAATTATCTTATGAGCAGTAGGAACATTAACCTTAAATGTTGAACAAATGATTACATACATTCAAAAGTAACTGTAATTTTTCCTTTGTAACAGATTGACAAAAATGTACAGTACTATTTTATATTTAAAATCCTCCAGTATGGGGACAAAATAAAAGAATGGTTAGCATGTGTGTAGAAAGAGATATGAGAACAGGGTGCTTGCTCAATTCTAAGATTTGCCACATAGGCAAAGTATTTAGTTGGACTTATTTGCATAGGTGAGCCAGTATGTCGTGATAAACTATGATAGTAATCTGGGATCATGTATAAAAGCTAGGCAGTTAGGAGACAATATTTGAATGAAAGAGCTGAATTAGTATCGGAAAAACAGTGTGGTAGAGTGGTTAAGGTGTTGGGTTAGGACCAGGGAGACCAAAGTTCTAATTATTCCTCAGTTATGGTAGCTCATTGGCTGACTTTGGGCTGATCAGTTTCTCTCAGTCCCACCTCTCTGGAAGTACGGTGTACAATGCCTTGAGCTCCTAGCTGAAAGGCCGGGTAGAAATCTAACAAACAAATGAATAAAGAGAATATTAACTTGTGGCAATTGTAGCTAACAGGCAACCTGTCGTAAGTTGTCAGAAAGCCAGTGAAAGAGAATATGTTAGAGAGTGAGCAAGATTAATGTAGCTTTTTAAAGAAATCATACAATTGGTACGGAAGGCACAACTTTCATTAAGAATATTGACGAGCTGCTTTACTGCCTGATTCAAGGCTGATTATATATCTTGGTGCTGAAGTGAGATAGTATCAATTACAGTGCTTTAATGTTACAGGCAAATTCAGTACTATTCTAATTTAAGATCAGAATGCCAAATCCATTCAATAAAAATGCTATATAAAGCATATTAAAAGTTGATTTGGTTTGTTCAATATGTAAGCCTTATAAGTTTCATCCAGGCAATGTATGCAATTATCAGCTATGTTCCAGGATATTCAATGATTCTATATAAACGTTTCAGACTTACTACACATAAGCATACAATTTGAATGAGAAGGCAGTGAACCAATTCTAAGTAATGCTCACAAAACTATCAGAACTACTTACTTTGTTTACACAGAAATCTATAACAAAGCATTTCTATTTTCTATTTATAAAATTAAAGCCCAAATTAAGTTGGATTATAAATCCACTTTTAAAAAAACTATTTTTGTTATTATTTGCTCACTCAGATTGAGAACTCTGTTGTAGGCATCTGAAGTTCTGATGCCCCCAGTGAATCAGGGAGAAGCACAATATTGCCCTCCATTTAACTTAATGTGAGCAGCTTCTGCTGATATAGTGTGCAGATAAAAAATGATCAAAGACTACAATTACCTAGGCGTAAGCTTCACTGAATGCAATGGGATATATGTAAATGTTTATAAGGTTGTGCTGCACAAGTAGTATGTCTTCAGAACCTCCAAAGAAACAAAAGTTAACATCTCATCTTGAAACAGAGAATAAATGTGGAAACATTTCTATCTTACGAACCATAATTCTCACTTGCAATCCTGTTGTTTGCACTGAAGTTTCAAGAATAAGTTTTGAAGTTATGCAGTTGTTCATTTGCTAACGTATTTTTTTCTTTTGTAATATTACGGCAGCATAGAGTATCGATTAATTGTAGAAACAAAGCATATGTTTGCATTTGCCAAAGGCCACCCTGATAAGAGTGCATTTGCTGCAATTGTGGCAGATTTAAAGAAATACATAGGTTATGACTTAAAAGTTTAAAAACTAATTAAGAAGGTTACAGTGTAACTATTTTGGTACTAGCACCAGTGCATGCTGGCAGAAAAGACAATGGTTTATGGACTTGCATCCATTTTGTATTTTTGTAATATTTGTAAATACAAACTTTTTAAATTGTTGCAAAAATTGTTTCTTTTGTAAAATGTTTTCAAAGTTTACATTAAAACCAAGCCAGTTTGTATATTTTAGAACTGTGCAACACTTTAAGTCTTGTATTTATTTTTAGTAAAACAGTGACAGTTTCATTGTGAACCCCCTCTCTAAAATGTGTCAGAAAAGTCTGATTATCTAGGAAATGTGTATAGAAACTGCAAATAAATGTGACTGCAATTAAATTGCTCCACTTGCTTTACTTACCACCAGTCAAGAAAAGACAAGGTCTACTGGGTCATTGTCTACTGGGCAATACAGGTGTTAGGCAGAGTGCAGATATAACCACATTCCACACCAAAAAA